GACTGAAGTTTAAACACCAAGGAGTAGCATTCCAGTAAAGCAAACCTATGAGAATAAATAGATAATCATCTAGATATTACAAAGCAAGGCTCCATATTGTCATGATTTGGCACTCCATCAGAATGATAGAGCACATTATTCTCGAAAGCATATGAAAAATAGTCAAACTTCAACCATGTCACACTTGTTAAAACAGAAAACATGTTACAGGTCGAGAACTGCTATTTATCGAAATGTAACTTTCTAACGGATGAGGACAATGTGGCTTCTTGTTGAACTCCATGCAGAAGACTTGTAAATCCGCCTTGGACGAAAGGAGCAGGCATGGCCGAAGGCTGCCCGTACACATCTGTTGAGAATGTTAGCATGGATGCATTAACATATCCGCCTTCAATCAACGGAGAAGCCATGGTCGAAGGCTGACCATACACATCACTTGATAATGTTGGCATTGAGGCAGTAGCATATCCGCCTTGGATCAAGGAAGAACCTATGGTCGAAGGTTGCCAATGAACATCATTTGCAAAGTTTGTCATAGCCTCGATGCTACTAGCATTAAGGTCCTACATCATGGAAAATGAAATAGTTTAAAACAATAGATTAAGTAGAATATGAAAGGAAAATAATGAGTACAAGCCCTGTCTTACGATCAATTCATTTGGATCATTGTGTTCCTCTCTATTTTCTGTTGCATTCTTTGGATCTTCTCCTATAGTCAGACGTAAAAATCAAAATAAAATAAAAATGACTATAGAAACATATACTGGATAATAGCTTTGCTAGATTGGGTACAATCGATCAATACCTTTCTTTTTTAGAATTTTTCTTTTTCTTTCCATTCTTCCTTTCAAGAGAGATTTTTGATCGTTTACTCTTTGCGCCTTTTACCACCGGAGGAACTCTAAACGATACAATACCTTTTAAGGTCTCTGCAACACACTCAGTCGAAACTAGCGGAACCTCGCTGGATTTTTCTTTCATCTTGCTAAGAGAATTGTCTGCTTCCAAGTCCAACTTATCTATCGCTTTCTCCAAATCATCAAGAAGCTCTTTCACTGTCGAACATTTCAATGCAACAGATGTTGCCTTCCGTGAGATACGGGCCGCTTGTGTTTTCAAATTTTCCGTATCAGTTCCTTGCTTCTCAATATAGAAGCCTCTCTTTGCATATTTTGTCCATCTGTTTAGTATATATTGCGATGGCAGCTCATGTTGAAGACTTTGAGGGCATGCTTACACTAAATTGAACACGAGCCTGACAACCTGTTCTTGTAGTGGCCTTTGATGATTCGGTTTCTCGTTCTCCCTGATTACTGCAAACTATATATTTCTGGTATATAGTTCGATCTCGGCGACGCTTTGTCTGGCTCTTTCTGATACTAAACCCAATCTTGCCGGCATACGTGTTGTACATGTCGTATGCTTCCTGCTGAATCGAATGACTTTCCCACTTCTGGAACGATCAAAGCTTGCCCAACTTTATCAACCACCTACAGTAAAAAGTGTTGAAAATTAAAATTACATTACCACAATGTAAAATATATACTTAAGTTCTTCTTCACAACACATTAGTTTTACATTAGGTGCGTCATGGATGGAATACTTTGTTTTGAATAAGCTACTATACTATCAAGCCAAATATGAGCAAATCATTGTTTACAAAATTGTTAGTATGTCATCCTGAAATTGTTCATTACAGAGAAACATCTTATCTTGACTTCCTAATCTAGCTTTTGGCATGACAATGTACTGTAATGTATTGCACACATGCAAGCTCAGATTGTTGTAAGGGACAATCTCGTAGAACCAGCAACAACCATACCTGTTGTATCTCCTCTCTGTCAGCTCCACGACCACTGTCGATCACATCGTCCTCCTGGCCTCTTTCTCCAGTCATGTTGGTTGTGTCATACTCCTGGTCTTCTGTTACGTGCGGTGGCGGCAAGTCTATGTCGCATGTTGCTGCCTCCTGCGCCGCCGTCGACAACGGGCTGTATAAGGTGGAGCAGCGGCCGTCCTCATCTGCATTGTTTACATGATCCAAGGCGGCGATAGTGCCGGACTCCGGCGTGGCGACTCCCGTCCTTCTCGCTGGAGGCGACACTTCAGGCAGCAGGTGCACGACCCGCGGCGGCCATAACTCTCGTTCCGGGCTGATGCAGCCATGGGAGAGAGAGGGCGGCGAGGCGTTCTGGCGCGGCGGCCATCCCCGAGCGAGGAATCCCACGCCCACCAGTCCGATCACGTGGAGAGGGCTCCGATCGCTCAGCCATGGAAACTCCGATTACTGCGGAAGTGATTGATACGAGCCGCGTAGTTGTTTCCTGGAGCCGATGCGAGGTACTCGAGCCGAGAAACATACGCGCAGGTGCGGATGAGAGGCTAGCGTTAGATGGAGAGCAGGGACAGGTGGCGGCAGATCCGATAGGGTATGCACGGGAGGAGGTTTGCAGCCCGTCTCCACCCAATTTTTTCCCCTTGAGACGGACTATATATGGAGGACGTGTTTTTCTGTGTGGAACACCTACGTGTTTGGTTCGACTGCTGCTAATTAACGCAAACCGCAAGGACGATGCTGGGCCTGGGCGTCGGCCAATCGATCGCGTGCCTGGGTCGGTCGCCTCGCCAGCCGCACGATCGCCTGCACGCAGACGTTCAATCACCCCATCTCACCCCAAAGCCGGCCTCCCATGGGAAGCTCAGAGGCGAATCGGCAACTCCGGCTCCACGGACGTGGTTGGCTCCGGCAAGAAGCAACAGTGGCCCATCCTCTTCGTGGGTTTCACTTTTATGTTCCGTCCTGCTACTTATTGTAAGACTACTAGACTGTTTTCGGCTTCGGCCTGATTTCTTTAATGAAAATCGGAGGGGAAATCCTCTTTTGCTCAAAAAAAGAAGCAACAGTGGCGCGTGCCCTCCGGCTATTTCGCTCTGTTGACCTCGAACTCATCGTTTGTGCATTTGTTCAGGAGATTTTTAGCAAGTGAAGTGAGCCGCTTAGCAAGCCACCCCGTATGTCATTGTTGACGGGGAAACGTTTCCCATCGACAGTGTAGTTTGCTCCCGCGCGCCTAGCACACCCACCAATACCAGGGAGCCACGCGTCCTTGCGGGCTCACATGTACTGCTTTGCCTTTTTCCTATCTTCTTCTTCCTCTCGGGAACTCTCTCTCTCTCTCCCGCTGCGTGCAGCCATGGCCGCGCTCCTCCTCTTGCTCCGATGCCCGTCTTCATTGCCCGGCACTCCTCTCCCTTCTCCCCATGCTTTCCGCCATGGCCTCCTCCTCCTCCTCCACCCCTCCCCCATGGTCATGGCCTCCGGTGAGCTCCTAGCCGTGCCAACCCTCGATGATTCAAGGTAGGAGTCGGGAGGAGAGGAGCTGCAATGGCGGATACGGGGGGCTAGATGCGGCGATGCAGGGTGTTGACGGAGGTGCTGCGTCCGCGAGATCGAACCGGTTGTCAGTTTGTTGCATACGACGGAGCCCGCGGGGACGACGGCACGGCGGAAGCTTGAACCGGCTGTCAGTTTGTTGCATACGGCGGAGCTCACGGGGACGACGAGCTTGTCCAAACACCACCTCCCGCCATTGGCTGTGACAACCGCGAGCTACTACATTACAACAAGCTCATTTTTTGCTACAACCGGCTCCATTTTTTGCTACAAAATAAGATGGCGAGCATGGTGACCATGCACGGTGACTTGCCTTTTGCTACAACCGACTTCGTTTCTTGCTACGTCCGGCTTCGTTTTTCGCTACACCCAAGGCTTGTGAGCGTGGTGACCGCGGGCGGCGAGGACGGGCAGCGCTGCTCCAAGCAACATTGTGCGAGGACGAGCGTCGCGGATTTTGTGCTACATGCTACAACCAGCATGAAAATTGCTACCACCAGCGTCCTGTCTAGCTACAACTGCCGTCGTGATTTTCTGCATCGCACAACGATGTTCTGATTTTTGCTACAATCAGCATCATGCTTTGCTACAAACATACTGCGAAATGCTATAACCGGCAGCGGTACTGGTACAAGATGGAAGGACAAGCAACGAAGATGCTACAATGGTGGATGAAAAAAGGATACAACCGGCTACACAAGTTCATACAAGCAAATAAACACTGTACTGCGACGATGGGGCGGCTGCTGCGACGACGAGCGGCTGCCCAGGGACGAGGACGGCGACGCCGCGTTAGCTTTGAAGGTTGCAGACGAGGTTTTTCGTTCTGGAACCGGCGAGGATTCGTGTGACAAACTCCATGAAGCGATTTTTCTCGAACGTGGGGGAGGAGGTTATGCGAGGGCGGCGGCTGGCAGTGACGAGGGTGGCGGCTGGAGCCGACGTGGGCGGCCGACGAGCTGTGGGATCACGGGGCTGCTCGCGAGTCATGGCTTTTTTTTCTTTAACCGAAGTAGTTTAGAAAAGCATCGTGTGGTTAATAAGAAGCTAATCATACCCTTGTGGTGCGACAGGCCGAAATTTCGGCCGGCGCACCAACGCCCATCACTCGCCTTGTTGACGCCCCTTCTCTCAGCCTCCACGACACAAATATGAATGTGATGTGTCTTGTGTCGCCTGGATGAACTGTTTGGGGGAGCAAAATTCTTGTGCGAGTTGTGGTAATTCCTTGGGGGCGGGTTTAAGGAGAGATACGTGGATAGGTTTGCAATTCAGTTAGGTATTCTCTCCGTCCAAAAATACTTGTCATCAAAATGAATAAAAAGAAATGTATCTAGATGTATTTTAGTTTTAGATACATCATTTTTTTCATTTTGATTACAAGTATTTTCGGACGGAGGGAGTACGTACGAATGCGAAAGATTAATAGTGGAGACCATTATTCAACCATGACTACAGTAGTAGCAGGGCAGGCGAAACACAGGTATCGTAGCTACAGTGGTATTTATTCAGCCATGAACTCCTCCGTCGAACACTTTTCATGCCATCACTTCACGCCAAACCGCATGCACGCGTCGCACCATCGGTTCGTCCGCCGGTCGGTCGCTCACTGTATCCTGCGATAGTGCCATGCATGCATGCAAATGCGCCATGAGAACCAATTAGTTTGACGAGCTACGTAGCATTTTCCCATGCAGGCAAAATCCCTAGTGTAATGTAGTACTCCACGAGTGGTGTGTGGGCTTACTTGTCGCAGTCGGTGTGGGGGCTGACGGGGATGGAGATGCCGAGCTTGCAGAGCGCGGGAAGCTGCCGGGCGCGGTCCGGGAGCACGCCGAAGGACGGGCCGGACTGCTCCAGGCACCTGCAGAGCGCGCGGCGCGCGCCCGGCGTTCCCGCCATCCTCCGCAGCCCCTGCGCGCCGCGGCAGCAGCTCTCGCTCGGCGCCCCGGCGACGGCGCCCACCAGGAACGACCCGCACGGGATCAGCGCGCTCACCGCGTCCCCGCACGACACCTCAGCCGCGGCCTCGGCCTCCGCTGCGTCGGCCGCCACCGCTGCCATGGCAGACGCGAGGAGCATCCCCACGACGAGGATGACACTGGCCCTACGAGTGCTAGGCGCCATCTTGCTGTACTCTACGCTCTCGGCGAACGATGCGTGGGCTGGAGCGGGTGCTGTAGACATATGTATAGGGGGACGAGGTCAGAGAGGTTGGTGGTGCACCTGAATGCGCCGTGCCGCTCGCCGCGTGCTCGTTGCCGCTTTGGGTGCTCTTATCGTAACCGCTCCCAGGAGGCTTATTAAACCGGAGACCCTGATGGAGTAGAAGGCGCTCGCCGGCCTATTCAAGAGCGGAAAAAGTTCATTTTAAACCCTGAATTTGTAGAGGTCCGGCAAAATGAACCCCCAAATCAAAATCCTGGTCGATTACACCCTGAACTGTGCAATCCCGATCTAAATCGAACCCTTGCAAAATTCAACCGGGATCCATTTGACCAATGGGCCAGGGAGCGGCAGTATTGACCACAGAGCGCCCCCATCCTCCGCATTGGGCTGGCCCATTTGATTCTTTTCGGTTACACTTATATTTCGGTGTTTGCCACATTTCAAAAATATTCAAGCATTACAAGAAAGAGTACGTGGCATTTCAAAATATATTTTAATATTATTTAGTATTTATATATATGTAACTAAAAAATGTACGTGCATTTGAAAAAATGTTCATGCATTTTAAAATAATGCTTGACATTTTGAAAAATGTATACAATGTACAAAAATGTCACGTAGTTTTAAACAATGTTTCATTCCATCACAAAAATGGTTAACACGTTTTTGCAAAAAGTTTCAGATACTTGTATTTAAAAAAAGAATGTTAATCATAAGTTAAATACCAAAGGCGGTGGATATATATGAAAGAATAGACATAAAAATATATATTTAAAAAAATATTAATCATGTATTTGGAAAATGTTGAACGTGTATAAAAATGTTTCGGATATATACGAAAAATGAACAATGTGTGTGAAGAAAATAGACATGTGTATAATTTTTTCCGATGCATACAAAAATTGTATTCAGGGAACGTTGTTTACTGGTCATCTAATTTCGCCTTTAAATTTTTCTGTCCGCGTTTATACTATATAAAAAATTGTCCTGCTACCCTAACAAGAACCATCCTTGGATGGTGGTCTTCCCACGAGCCAAGTAGCAATACATCATTTGTTCAATACCCATCTGTACCATTATTATTTTCCCATATGATAACCAGTTCTTAAAATAAATATATGCATCAAACAATTTTCTAAAATATGTATTGAACATTTTCGTAATATATGTTGATTTTTTTTCGAATAAACACTGGAAAAAATATTACGGGATTTCATAACAATATGCAAATATGAAAAAAAAGTTCATCAATTTCAAACAAAATCACGAAATTAATAAAAAAAGGGAAACTGAAAAATAAGAAGAAAAAGAAAAAGGAAAGAAAAGAAAGGAGAAAAGAAGAAAAAGGGAGGCAGTGAAACAACCTGAGCCGTGTCCCTGGTGGTTGCTGCATCGACCATACAGCGTACAGGTCTCGCGTTCGAGCCTCACCGTGCTCTTTTCGATTTTTAACGAAAAAAATAAAGAAATAAATAAAGCGGGCCAGTGTACTATTTTTGTTTTAACGAAAAAAAATAAAGTGGACCGGCCCAGCAGGGAGTAGGTGTGCGCCCTCTGCGAAGTACCTCAATCCTGGCCGTCCAAACGACCCAAAGGTTCGATTTAAACCGGAATTCCATAGTTCAGGGTGTAATCGACCGGGATTTTGATTTGAGGGTCCATTTCGCCGAACCTCTACGAATACAGGGTTTAGAATAGACTTTCCCCATTCAAGAGCCGCACTGTGCCGGTGCAACTGCAACGACCGCCTTGGCTTAATTGATCTGCTGCAGGGGGCACCTGCTGGCGTCGTTTTTTCGCGTGTCTCCTGGTCTTGAGTGTACCTCGTGACGTTGTACTCTGTCGTACATCCGTCAGCAATTCCTTCTTTTTAGGTTTTTTAGGAGGTTGTTGCCACCGGCCTCTACGATCCACATAGTCATTCATTCCTTATTTCTTTTGTAGTAGACCAATAAATTATCACATGATAAATATCTTTTACCCACTCCGTTCCTAAATATAAGTCTTTTTAGACATTTCAAATGGACTACAAGATACGGATATATGTAGTCATATTTTAGAATGTAGATTCTCTCATCTTGTTCCGTATGTAGTCACTTGTTGAAATCTCTAAAAAGACTTATATTTGGGAACGGAGGGAGTACATGCCAATGACTAAATTTGTAAAATCGGTTCTGATGTGTTCATGCACGGCCAAACAAAATTGTAGTCAAACTTTACAGAATTGTAAAAACTTTCATGGATCATGACGTCAAATCGGGGGTTCTTATGTCTCAACATCGACCGAGAAACAAGTAACCCGGAGACGACTCAAAATTAGCAGACAAATATAGTTGTGCAGCCCTTTGATGGTTGAGATTCATGGAGCGTGTTTTCTTGGAAAAAGATAATCAAAAATCACATTTCAGAGTTTCAAAAAATTCTGAAAAAAATGCACATTGACATATGGATGCATACTACCTGTGTGAAATTTTTCATAAGAAAATACATTAACACGCGAGCTACACAACACATGACAAATTTGCAATTTTGAAAACATGAAAAGTGCATGTACTGCTGACTAAAAAACATAGTAGCGATTTTTACTTTTTTTGTAGCTCGCATGTCAATCTATTTTCTCACGAAAAATTGCACACATGTAACATGCATTCATATGACGATGTGAACCTTTTTCACAAAATTTTGAAACTTTGAAATGCAATTGTTGGATTTTTAACACAAACGGGCCTCATGGAGCTCGAGAGATGGAAAAAATACTTGCCTTCGCATTGGCGCCCGAAGCCATCATCGTCGGGATCGCTTTATTCCCTCGCGCCATCTTTCCCATGCCATCGCCAGCCAAAACCCTTCCTGCGCATCTAATTCCCCTCCGCTCTTTTCTTTCCCATTTTCTTTCTCTAGCTACAAACTCTTTTCTTTCCCATCATGAAGACGTTCTGAGCTCGATCGGTCGGGGAAATGAGGATCATGTTGCGGACGCTGCGCGGGGACCGGGTGGCGCTGGACGTGGACGGCGCGGCCACGACCGTGGCGCAGGCCAAGGGCATGGTCATGGCCCGGGAGCGCCTCCCCGTGGCCATGCAGCGCCTCTTCTTCGCCGGCTGCCACCTCGACGACGACGACCGGACGCTCGCCGACTACGGCGTCCAACACGACTCTGTCCTCTTCCTCGGTCTCCGCCTCCGCACCGCCGACAGCACCCCGTGCCAGTACGTGCGCGTTGCTCTGCTCCGTCAAGAATAGCTTCCTTTCTTAAATTCTTTTCCGGCAAAAGACGTTCGGCTGACATGACACGACCGATCGATGTGCTCGCGCTGCAGGGACGAGATGCATAGGCTGCAGGTGCCGGCCGGTTGGACGGCCGCGAAGCATGAAGTGCACCAGGAGATGCATGTGCATGCCCATGGCAACGCGGGTGCGCACGGCGGCAGCGGTGGCGAGGAACCCGGGAAGGCCATGGCCAGGAAGCCGGCGTCGCGGCGCGCGCTCCGGAAGATCCTCTCGAGGCTGCACGTGGACGCGTGGACGAGGCAGCACGACGCCAAGCTGCTCGACCTACTACAGCGCCACACGGCGGGACGAGGCGGCGGCGTGGGCGACCTGACCGGCGAGGACTGGTCGGCCGTCCGCGCCGAGCTGAACGCGGCGACGGGGTCCGGGTTTGCCGTGGAGGAGCTGCAGCGGCGGGTGGGCGAGTTCCGGCGCGAGCTCGAGGCCGTGGGCCGGACCAAGAGCCACCCGCGGTTCGGCTACGACCCGCGCCGCCGGGTCGTCGTCGCCGAGGAGGCCGACTGGAAGCGCTACACGCTGGTAAGTACATGGCCTGGAATTCTGCGTCTGTGGATCGATTGATCCACCGTGAAGTGCCTCTTTCTTATCTCCATCTGTTTCAGGAGAATCCCGATGCGGCGGCGTATGAGGGGAGGAGCCCCCGCCTGGTTCTCCTCCGAGCAGTTTTCGCCGGAGACGGGCATGGCGGCGCCGGCGCGGAAAGCCGGGAGTCGCGGCCGAGGAGGTACCTGAACAAGTTGCTGCGGAGTTTTGGGCTTCGATGTAAGCTGTAGACAGACCCACCGATCAGTCGATCACAGCTCACACTCTGTACAGTTGGATGAATTGGTTGCGGATTTGAACAATTTGTTTCCCTTGGACATTTTTTACCCCAGATGGAAAAAAAATCAGAACGTCAGTAGCCAGTGGTTTTTTTATTATGATGAACAAAGGTAGTAGCTCTGCCGATTTCATTAAGTTTAGTTTAAAAGGGAAATAAGTTCACAAACAACTTCACATAAGTGTGCAAATCAAATATCCAAGCTAGAGAAGCCAACATATGGTTGGATGGTTAATCGGGTGGATGAGCCCCCTAACCCGTCATGTATTTGTAAATCTGATTAAAAAAACAGGGGAGAGGCTAGGTGTAAGTCGACAGAAAATAAATTCAAGGTCAGTCGATCGTTTCAACCTTCATATGCAGATCCAACGGTGGAGATGCCTTCTTCTACTTGCGCCCCTCTCTTCACTGTTCATTTTCTACCTCCGGCCTAAAGAAATATAAGAGCGTTTAGATCAAAACACTCTTATATTTCTTTAGGGAGGGAGTACACCAGTCCTTCATATCTCTCTTTACAGTCTTCTTTCATGTCAAGTTTGGTCTACCCTATATATATATATATATACTTGACTAGAGAACCCTTTCCTCCTCCACAAGAAACGTCTCCTTCCTCCTCCCGTCGGCGCCGCCGCAGATCCGCCCCGCCTCCGATGGCCTTTGGCCTATGGAGGTGCGGAGGATCTCGGCCCCCCGCCGGCGGGAGGGACCCCGTTCTTGTTTTTGCTAGGTTGAACGTTTTGGTTGGGGTTGTTTGGCGGCGGCGATGTCCCTCCGTAGCAATAATGTCTCCCACGTCCTATCTCCGTCCCGATGGTGCGAATAGCGTTGTCGGAGGATGTGTGGAGGTGTGTCTCCGTCGGATCTCATGGGATTCGGTCGGTGCTGGTCTTCGGTGGATCTCTTTGGATCCAGTTTTTGTTTGTCTTCGTTCGTGTGGTTCCAGGTTTGATCTTTTCAATCTACAACTCTCTTCATCGGCGATGGTTGCTGCTCCGGTGTGTTGGTCCTTTGGGGCCTTAGCACGACGGCTTCCCGACTGTCTACTACAACAAGGTTTGCCCGGCTCCGGTGATGGAGGGGTGATGACGGCGGCGCGCCTTCGGCTCGCTTCAGTGCTTGTAGTCGTCGCTAGGTGGTCCATAGACCTGGTTGTAATTTTTATTACCTCTTGTGTTCTCTGTACTGCCATGATTGATGAATAGATTGGAAATTTCTCTCGCAAAAAAAAAAGTTCGGTCTACCCTGACATCTCGTGACATTATCAACATAATTTAACCGTCCGTTATGCACTGGAATTTCTGAAGGCCTGCGCTGAATATGCCAAAACAATCTCAGATGATGTTGGACAAGCTTTTCTTCAATTGGTGCTATCCCAACTCTATCCTATATATCATCATTTCAATTGTTGGGTTTTATAAGAAAGTAAAAAATGTTTATTCCAAGCTTTGGAGAACGAAAAAACTTCTATATATGCATGATGAAATTAATGTAAGCAGTAAATATTTAGACAAGAATATTTGATCAGTGGTATTTGAAAAGTCTTCGTTTCTAGACCAGTGGCAGTGAGTATTTGAATACTTTAGCAAATGTGGTGGCAAACCATAGCTGCCTCAAATGTGATGGTTTTGTAACTTAATGATTACAACAAAACAAAAAGAATACTCAAATATACCAAATGAATTAGAGATGATTTTGAACAGAAAAACTATAATTAACATGTTGTGCATATAAATCCTAGCAAGAGAGGGTATATTTTTTAAATAACGGGTACAACATTGTTTCACATTGACTTATTTGGATATTACAAATTAGATTGAAAACTCTGATGGCTGAGGTCCAAAGTACCTTGTTTGAACTTGTATATTGTTTCCCCGGAGGGTATATGTTTGCACATAAATGTAAGAATACGATTGAATGGTTAGAATCTTATTTAAAGTAATTGGCAGTTATGAGAAATAATATTGCAATCATGGCAATTATGAGAATAGGATTCCAAACATGCATGGTACTCCCTCCGTTTTTATTTACTCTGCATATTAGATTTGGCTGAAGTCAAACTTTGTAAATTTGACCAAGATTATAAAAAACAATATAAATATTTACCATAACAAATTTATATGATGTGAAAGTACATTCGATAATGAATCTAATGTTATTTATTTATTATTGTATGTGTTCATATTTTTATTTAGAAACTTTGTCAAAGTATACGAAGCTTAACTTGACCAAAACTAATACGCATACTAGATTAAAACAGAGGG